CAGGAAAACTACAGAGTACCCCCCTTCCCAAAGGTAAGAGAGCACCTGGGACCTGCAGAGAGCCATCCTACAGCCCCTGGTATTCAGGGTCGCAATAATAAGAGGCGTCATGCGGAGGGCTGGGGGGGTGGGGATTTCTTGTTGGCGGGGGTGTTCAGCCGGCAGTAGATCATCCTCTCCCTGGGTGACCGGGGTCAAATCTAGGGCCTCAATCTCCGCATACACGGGGAGAGGCCAGCTCCTGCTACCCCGGGGGCCCCTACTCTAGGGCCCGCCTCAATGGTCGCCTCGGGGTCCGCGGGGGGTTCGGGTGGTATCCAGGCAGAAGGGGCATCCTCAGGAGTCTCGGAGGGGAGGGTCTCCCGTGGAGGGGGGATTCTGCCCTCCAATGCCAGTCCTTCTTCCCCTCCCGACACCAGCGGATGGATCTCGCTCGTGGCCGTGGTGGGAGGCTCAATATCAGTGCCTCCTTTCCTGGTCTTCTGGGGGCTTCTGCGTCGGATGGATGCAGCGGAGCTCGAGCTTTCCGCTTGCCTCGCTTCCCCTGGACTAGGGTCCAGCCCTCCATAGCGTCATCTGGGGGTTGGTTAGCAGGGGTCATGTCGGGGGGCGGAGGCGATGGTTCAGGGGTTCGGGGGGGTAGCGGTGAGGCAGCATGAGGGGCGGGGGTTTCTCCTTGGGGCGGGCCCTCTCCTATACCCGGTAATATCCTTGCCACACCCTCCTCCATAGGCTCTGCTGGATTGGTAATAGCAAGGGTGGAACTCCCTTGCTTGCCCAGGCGTTGTAGGGAAGGTATCTCTTGGGCCCGGACGGGAGCAGCGATGGGTCGAGTAGGAGGAGGGTTGATTTCAGGTGCCGGGCATCCAGGGGCGTCAGCAGCGACGGGGCCGATGTCCTGCTGGGTCTCGGGGGTTTCGGGTGCCCCTCCCCCCAGGCCAAAGGGCGGTCTCTGCGGACATGCCCCGCTGAGCGGCAGAGGTAGCACCGGGCCTCTCTGGTGGAGTAAAAGACCCGATAGCGGGCTCCCTGGTAGGGGACTAGGAAAGACCTCTCGAGCACCTCTCCGTCACACGCCCCTGCCGGCGGTAGAAGCTGCACTTGCCGGCGGAATGAAAGGACTTGACAGAGGGTGGTGTCCTTGCAGCTCAACGGGAGAGGGCTGATGACAGAGACAAGTTTCCCCAGAGTGGAGAGAGCGGGTAACAGGGCAACATTGGGTAAGAAGGGAGGAACGGAGGTGAGGACGAACACCCAGGTCTTCTAGCGGCTCTAGGGGGACAAACACCACCACCCCCCCCGCCAGGCCCCTCTCCACCGCCTCCTAGGCGGCAGCCTCCGAAGCTAAGAAAAAAACGACCTTCCCATACATCTTGGAGGCCACCACAATAGCCATGGGTCCTATCACCTTCGCCAACGCCTGCACGTATGTCTCCACGTGGGGCGAGGTGGGCACCAGGAGGCAACGGACACCGTGCCTCCTGGTCAAGGCGGGGAAAGGGCCCCGGCCGCTGGTGATGGTAGCGGAGGGGGGGGGGGCGAGATGACGAGGCGGCAGGCAGGGGGGAGCCCGTCACCGCCCGGGCATACGTCCTGGGGGCCGGGGGAGGGACAATCGCAGAGCTGGTGGAGGGAAACACAGGGAGGGGCGCCACGGTTGATGACGAGGCCACAGCGGTGGGGGCAGCCCCTGCCATGGAGGGCTTAGTGGTTTTAGCGGGGCCCTTTCCTTTCATCCCGCCTTGGCCCTTCCGGCCAGCTGGGGGGGGTTTCCTAGAATCTGGGGGGGCGGTGGGCGCAGCAGCAGCAATCACCCCGGTGCCTCCTGCTGCCGGTGCCCCAGTGGCGGGGTGTGTGGCAAGTATCTTAACAATAGTGGTGGGGGGAGACCTTGGGGGTCGGGCAGGGGGGGTGGTGGGGGAGGGACAACTGATTTTGTTAAAGGGGCCTCGCCCCTCTCTTTCCCCGCCATTGTGAGCAGGGAGAGACGGGGAGACACCGGAAGGAGGAGGAGGGAGGGGGAAGCAAAGTAACCGCTCCTCCCCGCTGAGCTGCAGGCGGGGGGGGGGGAATGCCGAGGGGGTTGGACTGGGGGCGGGGGGAAAAAACAAAATCGGGGTCCAGTAATAGGGGCAAGCTGTGGGATAAGCAATCGGGGCGGGTGCAGACCCACACAGGTTTGTCCAAAGAGTCTCGGTGGGTCGGCTGTTATGTCTGGTCCGAAAGGCAAAGTTCAAAGCGAACAGCTGGATCCGAAGGGAGATGGCAGGTTGCCAGCAGGGACGGACGGCGGGGGGGGCCGTGACAGTTGTAGTAATGGTGGGGGGGGTTAGGGACACCGATGGACCGGGGGGGCTCCGCGCCACACCCCCTGTGCCGCCACAAACGCAAGTAACCACAGTCAAACTCCCCCCCACGAGAGTATAATTCAGAAAATTACTCAGTTTTACGGCCCCCTTCACGATGATTTATAGCTTCCCCGGATTATTTCTCCTGTCTTCTGAAATCTTCTTCTCCCGCTGTGTTGGCTGTGTTCCAAGGCTTCCGGCATGCTGAGAATGTTGTAAAGTCCGAGCTGCCAGCAAAACGGCTGGGTCTGGGGGTTTCCACTCCCCACCTCCGGACAGCAAAATTGGCAATCTTCCCCCCCCTCCTCCGGGGGGCCCAGCTGAGGCAAACAGCTGCGCCCGAAAGCAGGCGTGGGATGGGCGGGTGCTGGCGGCAAGCTGAGGGCCGACCAGCACGTAGATGGCAAGAAGAAAAAAAAAACCAAAGAATCAAAACAAAGCAAAAAAAAGCGTCTGGCCCGGTCGGGGGGGGGGGGGGGGGGGGGACTAAGGCAGGTTCAAAAAGTAAGAAAAATCCAGGCTAGGGGGCTTTAGGAAAGAATAGAAAGCAGATAGCTGAGGAGCAAGCAAAGGACGTTCCGTTTCCCAACAGGGAAGGTTTCAGAACAATCAGGAACCTTCTGCGGACAATTAAGACAGGCTGATTAGAACACCTGTAGCCAATCAAGAAGCTGCTAGAATCAATTAAGGAAGGCTAATCAGGGCACCTGGGTTTTAAAAAGGAGCTCACTTCAGTTTGTGGTGTGTGTGTGTGAGGAGCTGGGAGCGAGAATGCGGACTGTTGGAGGACTGAGGTGTACAAGCATTATCAGATAACAGGAGGAAGGTCCTATGGTGAGAATAAAGAAGGTGTTGGGAGGAGGCCATGGGGAAGTAGCCCAGGAAGTTGTAATGTCACACAGCTGTTCCAGGAGGCACTCTAGACACCTGCATTCCACAGGGCCCTGGGCTGGAACCCGGCGTAGAGGGCAGGCCCAGGTTCCCCCCAAATCCTCCCAACTCCTGGTCAGACACAGGAGGAGTCGACTTGGACTGTGAGTTCAGAAAAACGGCCAAGCTCAGGGCTGCCGTGAAGCTCCGAGGCGAGCAAATCCGCCAATAAGCGCAAGATCCACCAAGGTAGAGCAGGAACTTTGTCACAGGTGATAAGCACCACGAGGAAATTAATAATTTTGTATTCAGAACAGGCTCTGAAAGGTATGCAATAAGGTCTGAGGCCACACATGGAGTGCTGAGAATGAAATGAAATATCGACCGGCTACCAACTGAGAGAGTACCATCCATGCTGTGCACTGAATGAAGCAAAGGTCCTGTGGAAAAAAATAATATGTGATTATGTAATTAAAGACGGTATCATAATGTATACGTACCAGTGGCATGAATTAAGGTTGTACAGGCTGGAGCTGTCTAAGGAACTAAGCCACAGGCAGCTTTTTGGGCCACCAATAGAGTGTGTTGATGTTCCTGTAATCTGCCAACTTTTACTGGCTGGATGGGGAACTCAGCAACAGAGAGATAAATGAGAGCAGTGGTTGGTGGAGTCCAAGTCAAACGAGTGGCCATTTTGGTGAGTGGACTATTGACCAGGGTTGCAAGTTGAATGAAGACGTGATGGCGAGTGGTTTTCAACCTGTGGTCTATGGACCCTTGGGGATCCGCAGACTATATCTAAGGGCTCTGTGAAAGGTTGTCATTACCATAAAACAGTGGTTTTCACCCTGCGGGTCCACAGACTAGGTCTAAGATTTCTATTCAAAATTTTTTTAGGGGTCCGCAAATGAAAAAACGTTGAAAACTACTGAGCTTAGGGGTCGGATGGGTCATCACCATGGAACCTGAAGTCACCACAAATGAGTGAGGGAGATTGTGAGGCAAGGAAGATAGACAGCCATGAATCAAAATCAAGAGACGAAGGCTGATGGAAAGGAGTTGGGTGGATGTTAGATGACAATTCCTGGAGGGTGCAAGGAGAGAAGAGTCATATTCAGTGCTGTTCAGAAGCAGAGAAATGAGTGGGAAAGAGGAGAGGGAGTTCTAATTTGATTTAGTTTTGTTTTAATAATCTTATTTTCATGATACTAGCTTTGGAAAACTTAATAAAGTTGACATTTACCTTTGTTACCAACTAGACAACTGATAACCATCTGTAAAACTCACAGACAAGAGCTATTTGCTCTAAGAGCTAACTACTAGTATTACTGTGGGAATGATCCTGCAAGCCCTTCACACACGACACTCCAACTGAAGTTAATGTGAATCTGGAAAGCTTAAAGGATGGCCTCCAAAATTCTACTGAAAAATGTGGTGGATAAGAATAGGTTGACACAATTTTAACTGTAGGCATGCCTGTAGGCATCCTTGAACATTAACCTCGAATTACATTACTAGTATCACTAGGTCACTGTAGGTTGTAAACTACTGGGGTTTACTCTTATTGTTCAGTATGGACATCAACAATGAATAAAAGTCATACATTAAAAATGGAAGTTTTCTATTATGAAGCAAACACCACGTTTTCTTTTCATAGTGCTTGCTGAAGCTTACAGCATCTCCTTTCTGCTGGAGGGAGGAAGCATACTTCCTTTGCTGAGAGATATGGGATTTTTTCCATGAAGGCAAGCAGAATCACTGTTCTCAGGTTAACAAACTCACCATAATATTCTCATGAGAGTGAAATTTTTGCTTCTTTGATTTCTTTTTTTCTGTTAGCCCAGAATGACTCCTGAATATTTCCTCAAAGCGAACTTTGGTTTTTGCCTTTGCCTCACTCTCTGCTAGAAAAAAAGTTAAAATAAGATTAATTGGCTCAAATAATTAGGTTCATTACAACAGCACCTGATTACACTTTTAGGCATAGAGGGCAGCATTTTCACCAGAGATGAATTACACTAATCAAGACTTTTATTTTACCTTGTGAAACTGAGAAAAAGTTTCCATTTACAATGGCAACCAGATGAACATAACTCAAAGAAGCAATATACGTAGAATCATCTATTGTACACAACAAGACAATTCTCAAATACATTGTTTCACATATTAACTATCAATTTTATAAATCCTGCAAATGTTAAATAAAAAAGTTCATAAAACAAAACAAAATCAGCTGTAAGCATTGACCAAGAATTAATCCAAGACAGCACTAAAGATCAATTGATGGAAGTAACTGAACATTAATACCCAATTCTAAGAATAAAATGCATTTTGGAAATTAAAAATGTAGAAGTTCTCACCTGGCGGCATTTTCAGTCCTATATTAAGAATGGCTCAATACACTACACCTTTCTTTCTTAAAGTTCAACATTCTGCAAAACACACACCAACATTCAGAATATTTTAATTAACAAAACTAAGTTACAAAATGTATAGTATAAATTTATGCCAGCCTGAATGACTGGGTTAGTAATACTGAGACTAAAAAAAACCAAACCAAAAAAAACCCAAAGTTGATCAGAATAAATCTAAAATGCAATTCAATTTATATGGAACAATGCAAGAAATACTTCTCACCATATAAACAGAGTCAGTGAAATAGAATCCATTTCCCTTTAATTTGTGGCATGCTCTAAAGAGAGATTTTACAGATTCACGCTTTAAAAAAAAAAACAAAAAACAATTAAGACTCAATCCTGCACACCCTCTTCACTCAGACGATAATCCAAATGAAGTCAACATTAGCTTTGGTGGAGTAAAGATGATAGGACAGGGTCCTAAATTCCTTCTTACAAAATGTGAGGTTTATTAGTTCTAAAAGAAACTTGAGTGGATATGCCAAGCATAAGTTCTAGCAATTACTGAACTGTCATAATGTACTAAATAGGGTTGGGTGAAATTTATTGGCCAACCCCCCCCCACACACACACACACCCATCAAATATGCACATTCAGCAACACCAAAACACTTAAATTTTTTTTATTGAAACAATTATAAAAAAAGTCTGAAAAATATCAAAGCATTTTGTTTTGACATTTTCTAAATAAAGTGTTTTGATTTTTCAGTTTGAAACAACTTTTCAATATTTATTTTTATTAATAAAAATATAAAATGATCATCAAACTGAAATGAAATTTGACTTTTTGATACACCAAAAAAAGTTGTTGTTTTTTTAAAATTATTTTATTTTTCAGAACTGCCAACGAACCAAAATTCCAATATTTGCACAGTTCTAGAAACCAAAAAGAGAGAAACAGAAGCTACGCATTAACATCTAGTTATACCATTTCTACCTCTTGCTGCTAGGCAGTCTTTTGAGGTGGAAACCATACCAACTTTATATTCTGAAAGGTGTTTGAAATTAGCAGGTATGACCAAAAGTGGCTTTACATGGGGGGCTGCAGGGAGCATCTTTTATTGTAGAAATGTAGCTTGTCATTTCACAGCTAACAACAATATTTTTCCCCCCAACAGAAATATCATTTATTTCTAGCTCAGAAACAAAACTACTTCAGTGTCATTGTTAAACTATGCATCCCTATGGTCATAACACTTAAAAGAAATGAAAAAAGAGAAAACGTATTTTTAAATAATCATGTCTTAGGGTTTTTTTTTTAGTTACATAAAATCAATTTGAATATTTCTAAAGTTAGATTTATTGTCACTATAAGGCATGTGTCTCAACAGGATACCACTGCTTTACACACAATTCAAATTCAGACTCAGATAGAAATAGAAAACATTTACTACTTTAAGGTAGAAACCAAAACACTGTTAAATTATAATAGCTGCAGTTTACCAATTACTTTTGTCTTTTGGAGAGTAGGGAAGAATACATTTTGTGATTGATTTTATTCTCTCAAGAGACTGAGCACCAAGAAAGCAGGTACTCTCAAGTTTATAAAAAGGAACACAGGACAAAAAACAAATAAAATATGCGTAGCGCATACCTGCTTCCAATCTAATGGCTGAAATATCTTCATTAGTATCCAAATATACACAACAAAAGAGGGCCACTAGCAAATAAATTTTGTTCACAGCTGATCATCTTCTCTACAGGCTAGGCTAGTATTCTCACTGCCACTTTTTTGTTTTGAGTGCTATAAATTGCACAGATCCACCAGGCTTGACTGAAGACCACTGAGCTCTCTGCACACCACTCTTCTCTTGCTGAATAAATTATCCCTTTCATGACAACAAAATTAAAACCCATAATATTAATAGTTATTTTTATCCACTGTAATCGGAAGGAAGAATTACATAACATTTGACACACAGCCTTTAATTAACAGTATCAGAAGCCTAAATATAGCCTATTAATCAACATGGATAAGAACAAGGATGTTCCCCCTAGATAATCTCATTTTAAAATAGGAGAGATTTAATCTTGTGTTAAAGTTCAACAATCAGAGAATCCCAAAATGACTAAAGCTAGAGGTTTCCTTAATCTATTATTTTTCTAGCATATTGATTAATAAAGCAGTTTTCCTCCAGCAATGACAAACACACATAATACAGTACAGGGTTATATTCCAGACACCAGGATATAATCTGGGAAACAGAAATCTGCAGCCAGAGATTTTAAAAATGTTCTGTATATCTTCCTGCAGATTCTCATTTTCTCTATCTAAGCTATCATTTTTTAAACTGTATTTTTCAAATTCATCAAGTAGCAAAAATAATCTTCAGAATGGCAACTAATGTACTGTCCATCATTGTCTTTTGTGTCTATAAACAGACAGTGTAGTATTGCTGCGTCAGTATTTTATACTTCTGTAACATTTTCTGTCCTGAAAGATCCCAGGGGCTGTATAGGTTATGCTGCAAAGAAAAAAAATACCCCAGCCACCACAGCAAAGCAGCCACACGTAGTATATAACAAAGCAGAAGTGTGTGTCTACTGTTAAATGCTACACTACAGGAACTGAAGAATTCCTCATCCAATATGAGCCACAGAAGAATTTAGGTAGGTGGACCTTATTACACAGTTTAGAATTTGATCAAACTAGCTCCCTTACTCTCTTGCAAAAAGTGAAATGAAATTTTTAGTGATCACAAATGGCCATGACTCCAGATTTTGTTTGCTTACATCTCGCCTGAAAGATAGCATCTGCACAGCAAAATGCTTCCCAACACTGAACTTGGACACTGACTGGCCAAGCTGCTGAATCTCCAGCACCATCTTGAGGCACCCATGTTTTCCTTGGAGGTTTCCCATCCAAGGATTCACTGCTTAGTGTAACTTAGATGTAACTGCTTAGCTTGAGATCTCACAAGACTGCAATCCAGAATTACTTGACAAAATGGCACAAAAATACAAACTATTCCTATTCATCACCATTTATTATTTATGCAAAAACAAAAAGCGTGTTAGGTTTTTATTCATTCGTCTCAATGGGGTACTTTAGTCAAGAGAGTGATTAACTAGGCATCATTTCTGAAGCCTTATTAATACCTTGTAAATGCTAACTTGGCAACACCAGCTAACATAACTCTCCATGTCAAAGAAAGCACAGAATTAAATATAGTAAAATATCTTAAATGAACCAAACTGTACCACAGAATCTCTATGGATAGAAATTTTAAAATTTCATGCTTGAATAATCAGAGTACAGCAGCAGAAACATACTACCTACAGCTGACCAGGTGATTGTGCAATGCTCAGGGAGATTTGAGAGGCTACAAAATTGAACACCCAATGATAAAGGAGGCTTTCAATTATCCCCATATTGACTGGGAACATGTCACTTCAGGAGGAGATACAGAAATAAAATTTCTAGACACCATTAATGACTACTTCTTGGAACAGATAGTCCTGGAACCCAAAAGGGGAGAGGCAATTCTTGATTTAGTCCTAAATGAAACACATGAGCACATCCAAGAGATGAATATAGCTGCACTACTCAGTAACAGTGACCATAATGTAATTAAATTTAACATCCTTGTAGAAGGAAAAATACCAAAGAAACACACAATAGCATTTAACTTCAAAGGAGGAAACTAGACAAAAAATGAGAATGGTTTTTGGGTTAGAGGCTGTCTTTTTGTTCTATATTTGTACAGTGCATAGCAAATGGGGTCCAGGTTCTCTAGGTGCTATGATAATACACATTTATAATAAATAAAATAAATAAATAATTAAATAAATAATAATAATAATATGGACAAATGTAGTCATACATCTAGGAACAAAGAATGTAGTCTTACTTACAGGATGGGGGGATTCAATCCTAGGAAACAGTGACTCTGAAAAAGACTTGGGGTTCATGGTGGAGAATCCCTTGAACATGAGCTCCTAGTGCAATGCCATTGCCAAAAGGGCTAAAGCAATCCTTGGATGTATAAACAGTGAAATATCAGTATTGAGATTACATTACCTTTTTATTTGGCACTGGTGCAGACCATCATTAGAATACTGTGTCCAGTTCTGATGTCCACAAGTCAAGAAAAATGCTGATAACTGGAGAGAGTTCAAAGAAGAGCCATGAGTACGATTAAAGGATTGGAAAACATGCCTTATAGTAAGACAGGCAAGGAGCTCAATCTATTAAATGTCAAAACACTTTGTTAAAGCAGAGTTAAGGTTGCCTGGTAGTAGCTCATGCCCTTCCAGAACATTAAGTTCAGCAAAACTCAAACTTCTGAAAGCCAGTAAGCATAGAGTTAAGGTAAATGCCTATGCAACCTTAACTCTACATCCACGGAGGTGACAATAGCACTGAGAATGATCTACATGCACTCCTGCTACATTCACTGTGTTAGGTGTAGATTCAGTGGAAGAGAAATAAGATGGAAGAGCTGTGACAGTGATATTAGGAGACCTGGGGATTAGTTTGAGGAGCATCACAGAGCTGTGACTGCCATACTAGAAGATGTGGTTCTGAGTCCTCTCCCCCACACGTGTTTTATGAAAGGAAAGAGGTGTATATATACCTTGAGTTTCCACTCTACATCATTTCAATATAGAATGGTACAGGTTGTGTCAGTGGCAGGGCAATGATACTGTCAGTAGAAAGGCCAGATATGAGAGCAGTCTGTGGCTTTAATGATGGGTAGGGGAAAGTAGAGATTTAGGTGGTATCTTACGTGCAAGTGTGAAGGGGCTACAAAAAGAGTGAAGTAGTTTTTAAATATTACAAGTGTTGTATTCTGTTGAGGCAGCAGGCAGGGTGTTTGATTATACAGCAAATGCAGCTGTCCATTACAGTGAAAAGGGAGAATGGGCGTATGTGTGTTATGGACATATTGGGACATTGCTCAAAGAGGGCAAAATTAAGGTTGCATGAGTTTACCTTAACTCTGCACTTCCTGACTTTCAGAAGTCTGAGACTTTACTGAAATCGATGTTCTAAAAGGGCAGGAGCTATCACTGGGCAAATGTAACTCTGAGCTAATGAAGTATTTTGCCATTTAATTTCCTAGGTTTCTTTAAACAGAAAGTGAAATGTTTGCTGGTAGGAGTTAATGGTCATTTCAACAGTTGTAGTTCTCACCTAGGTTTGCTGTTTATATGCTTCCATGTCTAGATAATAATTAGGCTTGGCACAATTAAATTTTTTTTTACATAAATAATTTTGAGCAAGTATCAATGTTTATTTTAGGTATTTTTTCTGTTTTAATTGATTTAATTTCCTGCAACTGTGTAAATTTAGGGGGGGAGTTGTCAGACAGTAATTATTCAATGACAGTAGACCTTGAGATTCAAAACGTTAAAGGTTTAAAACAATTAAAACACCAATCACCAACATCACATGTCAAAATATAGAGCAAATATCTTTAAATCAGACTCTAATAATTTCTCAAGCAGCATTTCTCTCTCTGCCTATTTGTAAATTTCTATTATTCTCAATGGATATATTTTTTCATCTGTTTGTGTGTGTGTGTGTATGGTGAAATTGACATTTACCAATAAAAACCTAATCCTTCCAAGCCAAGTAATAATTAAAGACATAACATTTATATCATACTTTTCATTGGTATACCTTAAAGACCGCTACATTATTATCCTCATATTACAGGTGGGAAACTGAGGCACAGAAAGGTGAAGCGATTTCCCCAAGATCATCCAGCAGGCCCAGTGGCAAAGTAAGGAACAGTTTCAATCCAGTGGTCTTTTCGCTAGACCATAGAGTCACTACATAATTCCTCAGTGCTTCTTCTTCACTGCTACACATTTTGTTATAGTAGATGTGATGTTGCACCCCATAATGCTTTATAGAAATATGCTCATGAATGTAAATATGACATAACTGGAATACGTTTTATGCTACAAATGCCATGTAACATATCTCTCCAAAGGTTATGATCTACTGAATATATTCATCCTATTTGTATGCATGTATCATTTTTGTATTCAAAGTTATGAATATTGGCTGTGTATTTGTTTGATTTTAAGTAGCCTCAGTGAAACATTTGGTCAGCTTCTTGAGAAAAGACTATTCTCAGTAAGTGCCCAATCAAGAAACACTTAATCTGACAATAGACTTTGACAGATGCCAATCCACATCTGAGCTTTCCTGGAAACATTCCTGTAAAGTTCTGAGTCATGCCTGGACATGTGACTCCAAAACTCCATTTTGTAGCTGTAATTCTACACAGGCGGAGAGGGGGGTTTCCACCCAGAAGAGAGAAACTATACAAAGTCCTGGGAGATCACACCTTTTTGTCTTCAGTTTTGTCTTCAGTTCAGCTCAAGAGGTAGCCTCTCCACCCCAAAAGGATGCCTGAAAGAAACTGGAACAAAGGACAGTAACCACAGGGGTGTGAGTGATTGCTGGACCCAGACTAGAAGGCGGCTAGTCTGTAAAAGAAACTTATTGGAACATCTCTGAGGGTGAGATTTCATCTGTAATCACTTTCTTACTGTATTAGGCTTAGACTTGCGTGTTATATTTTTATTTTGCTTGGTAACTCACTTTGTTCTGTCTGTTATTACTCAGAACCACTTAAATCCTACTTTTTATATTTAATAAATTCACTTTTTACTTATTAACCAACCCAGAGTATGTATTAATACCTGGTGCGGGGGGGAGGCAAACAGCTGTGCATATCTCTCTATCAGTGTTATGTAGGGTGAACAATTTATGAGTTTATCCTGTATAAACTTTATACAGGGTAAAATGGATTTATTTGGGATTTGGACCCCCTGGGAGCAGGGTACCTGAGTGTTGGAGATAGGAACACTTCTTAAGCTGTTTTCAGTTAAGCCCTGCAGCTTGTGGGGGGCGTGGTTCAGACCTGAGTCTGTGTTTGTAGCAGGCTAGCATGTCTGAAGTCCCAAGCTGCCAGGGAAAATGGGCTCAAAGGTAGTCTCAGCAATCAGATGGCAGGTCCCAAAGGGGGTTTCTGTGATCCAACCCGTCACTGTAGAATTAACATAATAGTTTCACTTGGAAATGTTTGTAATGTGTAGTTGCTAACAGGGCCAGTGAGAGAAATCTCATACATGGTCTATGTCCCAAAACCTTCAGTTTTATTACATGGTTGTTAGAGTGCCACTAAACATGTGACAGAACATTAGTGTGTGTCTGCCCCACCATTCTGTCACTGAGTTTGGAAGCGCAATCCAGACCAGTAAAGAGTTGTGTCACCACTTGCCCTGCAACCCTGGGTGCCTTACAATGCTTTGCTGCTATAGCTACCAGCCTTGAATGCTCACAGCTAGCCTACAAGAATGCAGGTCACATTCTGTGCCTATGTGCTATGAAGCCCTAGTTCAGCAGCTCTGACCCTCAGCAACCTATCTACACCTCCGTTCTACCTCCTGCCAGCCCTGATTATAACCAGCAAGATGACCCTACCGCACTTCCAGTCCTAAATTTCCCCCCAAACCTTGTGCCCTGGAGTGTCCAGTCCTCTCCTGGACAGCTCAGAGAAATAATGTTTGTTGTGCCTTTAAAGAGAGAAAAGCATATTACAGTTTATTAACTTAACTGGGGTAAAGACACCTTTCCCCTCAAACACAACACTGAATTGGTTTATATTAAAATAAAACAAATTTATTAATAGGACATAGGTTAAGTCAGGGATGGGCAAACTTTTTGGCCTGAGGGCCCCATCTGGGTGGGTAAATTGTATGCAGGGCCATGAATGTAGGGCTCAGGGGAAGGGCTTGGGGTGCAGGAGAGGTGCGGGGTGTAACAGTAGCTCAGGACACGGGGTTGGTGGTGCAGGAGGGGTACAGGGCCATGAATGTAGGGCTGGGGCAGGGGGTTGGGGTGCGGGAGGGAGTGCAGGAAGGGGCTCAGGGCAGAGGGTTGGGATGCAGGAAGAGTTGTGAAGTGCAGGAGGGGGCTCAGGGCAGAGCGTTGGGGTGCAGGAAGGTGCAGCAGGAGGCTAAGGGACTCAGGACAGGGGTTTGGGGTGCAGGGGTGTATCTCTAGCAGCTCCAGGGTGGCAGCAGCGTGCCTGCCTGCCCTGGCCCTGCGCCACTCCCAGAAGTGGCCATCATGTCTGGCAGTGGCTCCTGGAGGTGGGGTGGGGCAAATGGCCCGAGCACTGCACCCCCTCTGCTGGTGAGGGGGAAACTGCACTCAAGAGCTGCAGGGGCAGAAGCTGTGGGGGGCAGCAGCAGGACAGGGAGGCCTAGGACAGTGCGAGGGATTAGCGGGGGGCCTGGTGCGGGCAACAGGAGTCAGACCTGCCCCCCTGCGTACTCATCGGTCGCAGCGGGGAGCAGAGCGACCTGGCCCCAGCCTGCTCCGCTCCCCCAGCTCCCAGCCCTGTTGCTTGTGGGAGGGGGCTTGGAGGAAGGGGTCAGGCCCGCCCCCACACTCACCAGCGGCAGCAGCGGGAAGTGGAACAGAGCAGAGCAGGCTGGGGCTGGGTAGTTCTGCTTCCTGCCACCGCTAGGGAGTGCGGGAGCGACCCCTTCTGCCAGCTCCAGTACCCACATTAATCCCAGGCTGCGTCACTCGGGAGAGGGGGCTGTCGGGAAGGGGTGGAATGGGGGTGGGTTGGGGCCGGAGCAGAGGCGGGAAGAGGTGGGGCTGGCGGCTGGAGCCAGTGCCGCATATGCACCATGCAGCTGTCTGGGGCACCATGAAATTTGGTGCCCCAAATTACGCGGTGCCCTACGCAGTTGCGTATTCTGCGTATGCCTAAGGACGGCCATGTTGATTACCTTCAGTCCCTCTTCACTCCGGATCTGATTTCAGCTCACATGGAGGGGCTGGGAGAGAGGGTCAGACCCCTGCAGAGAGGTAGGGCTCCCCTAGATCCCAGTACACACACAGAAGGGGAAAATTCAGGAAGATCAGGGGATGGGAACTATGTTGAGTGGGGGTGGGGGGGGGGGACACCACTGGGAAACTTGATAGAGGCAAATTTTTTCCCAAACATTGACAGATCATTCTCAGATTTCTGCCCATGGTGGGTTTAAAACAACACCTCTGTGACCTCGCAGATTTCTAAAGTGGCCCATTCATTTCAGCGAAATGTTCCCACCTGAAAGAGATGACTACAGCCTGGAACAATAGGTCTGAGACATGTGAACTGCTCCACTCATATCAGTGGGTTTTTCCATCCCCCTCCCAAGTGCTGGAGAGTTTCTCATGTGTGTAAAGCCTCCTCACCCCAGTCTCAGTCAGCAGTGTGTTCTTGGTGCATGCTCCAAGCACGCCTGTTTTAAACCCTCCAAACAGAGGAGCAGTGGCCATACTGGGTTAGACCAGTGGTCCCTCCAGCCCAGTATCCCATAGTGGCTAATGCCAGATGCTTCAAAGGGAATGAGCAGAACAGGGCAATCAACAAGTGATGCATCCCTTGTCGTCCAGTCTCAGCATCTGGCAGTCAAAGATTTAAAGACACTCAGAGCATGATTGCATCCTTGATCATCCTGGCTAATAGCCACTGATGGACCTATCCTCCATTAACTTATCTAATTCTTTTTTGAACCCTGTTATACTTTTTGTCTGCACAGCATCCCCTGGTAATGAGTTCTAGAGGTTGACCACATATTGAGTGAAGTACTTGTTTTAAATCTGCTGCCTATTGATTTCATTGGGTGACCCATGGTTCTTGCATTATGTGAAGGGGTAAACAACACTTCCTTATTCACTTTCTCCACATTATTCATGGTTTTATAGTCCTCTATCATATCCCTGCTTAGCACTGTAATCTCTTTTCTAAGCTGAAGAGTCCCAGTCTTTTTAGTCTCTCCTCATATGGAAGTTGTTCCATACCCTTAATCATTTTTGTTGCTCTTCTCTACCTTTTCCATTTCTAATATATCTTTCTGAAGATGGGACAACCAGAACTGCATGCAGTATGCATTTATATAGTGGCATTATGACATATACTTTCTTACTATGTCTTTCGTAATCGTTCCTGCACACTGGGCAGATGTTTTCTGAGAACTATCCACAATGACTCCAAGATCTGTTTCCTGAGTCATAACTAATTTAGACCACATCATTTTGGATATATAGTTAGGATTATGTTTTCTAATATGCATTACTTGCATTTATCAACACTCAACTTCATCTCCTATTTTCTTGCCCCGCCATCCAGTTTTGTGAGATCCCTTTGTAACTCTTCTACTTTGAACTTAACTATCTTGAGCAATTTTGTATCATCTGCAAACTTCGCTACCTCACTATTTTCCCTTTTTTTCAAATCTTTTATGAAGACGTTGAACAGCACTGGTCCCAGTACAGATCTTTAGGAGACCCCACTACATACCTTCCTCCATTCTGAAAACTGACCATTTATTCCTACCCTTTGTTTCCTATCTTTTGACCAGTTACTGATCCCTAAAAGGACCTCACCTCTTTTCTGATGACTGGCTACTTTGCTTAAGAGTCTTTGGTGAGGGACCGCCTCAAAGGCTTTCTGAAAATCCAAATACACTGTATCTACCAGATCATTCTTGTCCATGTCTGTTGACACACTTCAAAGAATTCTGATAGATTGGCGAGACATGATTTTCCTTTACAAAAGCCATGTTGATTCTTACCCAACAAATAGCATTCACCTGTGTGTCCCATAATTTTGTTCTGTACTACAGTTTCAATCAATTTCCCTGGTACTGAACTTTGGCTTACCGGCCTGTACCAGCCAGGATAGTCTCTGGAGCCTTTTTAAAAAACTGGCTCTGCAGTACAACCTGTGTTGCCAGCCATTCTCAGTTTTGTACACTCATCTCAACTTCACCAGCAATTATTTGGGACCAGCACTGTTCTGGGCGGCACAGCCTCATGACACTGGGGGAGACATCCCTAATCTCTTTTCCTCCAAAGTGCCAAGGCAGGCTTCTGTGGGGAAGAACAGGTAGGTCTGCACTGGCGGGCTGAGTGAATTTCACTCCCTGTAGGGCAGGCAAACACCCCTCCTCAGACACCTGTCCCGAGGGCTGAGAAAGCAGCAGGGCTCAGGTAAGGCAGGTAGGATGGGAAACTGCCTACAGCATAGCAGTTCTCCTTGCCTTCCCTGCTGCAGCCGCTCTGCCCCCACTACTCCAAGGAGAATTCTGCACCACTATGCATGCACATAATTAATGTGTCATGCATAATTTTTTCCCCTGCAGAAAATAAACTTCTACTGGAAAGTTACTGCAGTTCTGCCTTTTGTCCCCCAGGGACTGCTGTGGCACTAGAACAGAGCAGCCACTCCAAGGCAGGAGTAGCCCCAGCTGCTGATATGGAAGGGAAGAGGTTGCCTGCCCAGCGCTGTGCCTGTGGGGCCAGGTCAGCAGACAGGGCATATGGGGGAACAGACAGTGCGGGGTTGGAGGATCACAGACTGGGGTTCATAAGGGCCGGTGGGGGAGAACAGACTAGGGCAGGGGATGAATGGGAGTGGAGGTGCTGAGCCACATGGGCACGGGGGGGGGGTGCACAGCCACATAGGGGAAGGGTGGTGGCTGAGTGGGGGCACATATGGGGACAGGGGGAGAGGGTGCAGAGTCACATGGGGGGAGGGGGCTGGCTGAGGGAGTGCAAGGCTACATGGGGATGGGCGAAAGAGTACAGACACACATGGGCACGGGGGAGGGGGGTGTCTCAGTGGGGGTGGAGGGACACATGGGGACCGGGGAAAGGGTGCAAGGACAGGAGGGTACAGGGACACATGGGGACAGGGGCAGATGTAGCTGACTGAACGGGAGAGGCTAGAGGTCAGCCAGGATCTGCATAGGGGAGGCTCCCCTAACAATCCCTTCCTGCCCCCCCAAAAAACCTGTTTCATATTTCTCCCACCCATACCCATCAACCCTCCAGGTTCACTCCCAGGCTCCTACCCTCTCCCTCAGCTCCTCTGTTTACCCCTGACTCCCCCAAACTTTTGCACTGCTTCTGAGGGGGGGCGGGAAATACAGTTCTGCACTGCAGTTTAAATTAATTATTCAAAGTTCTGTATTTATATGCCTAGTAAGGAATCTATTTGACAAAAAACATTTCCTAGTCTTATTCGTTGTCTGTACTGTTACAGACATACTTGCTGACAGATATTTTGAAATAAATTACCAAAATAATTGAAATTTGTGTGATTATATTGTGTTATTTTGGCCAGTAAAATATGGAGAATATTGCAGAATTTTAAAATATGTGCAGAATCTTTAATATTTTCACACAGAATTCCCACAAGAGTAGTCTCCACTCAGGAGCCTGCCCAAGTTTGCCTGAGCCCAAATCCAGCGGCCAGTACCCAGGCAGCTGCTGGCAAGTTGGGTTAGCGACTCATGTCACAGCACCACACGTCCCTCCCCTGCAGTCTCAGCCCCCCTCAAACCCCAAGGTAGGGCAGTGGTCAGCATAGGGTTGCCAGGTGTCTGGTTTTCGACCGGAACGTCTGGTTGAAAAGGGACCCTGGCAGCTCCAGTCAGCACTGTTGATCGAGCTGCTAAAAGTCTTGTCAGCGGTGCAGCAAGGCCAAGGCAGGCTCCCTGCAGCACCCAGAAGCAGATACATGTCCAGGTCCTAGATGTGTGGGCGGCCAGGGAGGCTCCATGAGCTGCACCCACCCCAAGTGCTGGCTCCACACTCCCATTGGCCAGGAACCGCAGGCAATGGGAGCTGTGGGGGTGGCGCCTGCGGGGTCAGGCAATCCACAGAGCCCCTTGTCCCCTCTGCCTAGGAGCCGGATATGCTGTCTGCTTCCAGCAGCTGCCTGAGGTAAGCGCTGCCCAGCTGGAGCCCACAGCCCGACCCCCTGCCCCGAATCCCCTGCTGTGCTGTAACTGAGCCCCCACCCCCTCCCAAACCCCTGCCCCAGGCCCGAACCCCCTGCTGTGCTGTAACTGAGCCGCCACCCCCCCAAACCCCTGCCCCAGGCCCAAACCCCTTGCTGTCCTGTAACTGAGCCCCCACCCCCTCCCAAACCCCGGCCCGAACCCCCTGCTGTGCTGTAACTGAGCCCCCCCCAAACCCCTGCCCTAGGCTCAGCCCCCCGTAAACCCCTGCCCCAGGCTCAGCCCCCCATCCCAGAGCCTGCACACCCGCCCACGCACTCCACCCCCGCGCTGCAGGGCGGGGAGAGCGAGTGAGGGTGGGGGAGAGCGCGAGGAAGGGGCGGGGCAAGGGCGTTGGGTTTTGTGGGATTAGAAAGTTGGCAACGCGAGACCAGCAGCGCGCGGCCAGTGTCACCAGCAGTCAGGGACCCAGTGTGCAGTTACCGGGGCAGAGCCTAGCGGGTGGAGACCCACTCCCCCCGCCCCGCCCCCCGAGCCCTCTTACCCCGCTCCCCATCCCGGTGCCTCCGCAAACGGCAGAGCGCGCGGGGCAGGGGCTCTCACTCACTTTGACCGGATCTCCGGCACGGCCTCGAACTAGGGCTGCGACTGCCGCGGCTGCCCCTTCTCCCCCCCGCCACTTGGTTTCTTCCTCATCCCCCTCCGCGGCCTCTCACGCTCGTTTTGCCGAAAACAAACAACAGCTGCCAAGGAAACAACGCTCCGCAGAATGCGCATGCGCGTAAAGTGGGGCGAACGCTGGGCGTGGAGAGGCATCCGGGACTTCTTCGCAGGCTTCCCACCTCAACGACAACGGAAACACATGCTCCACTACTGAGTCCCGAAGACGAAACGCGCGCGCGCGCTCCTTAGAATTAAGGGGGAGAAAAGGCGCTTGCGCTTATGCAGTACACGCCATTCCGGGAGAGGCGGGCAAGACGTGATGCGCATGACGTTGGCGCTGATGATACCAGCCGCCCAGCCCGGCAGTGTTCAGGGCGGGACGTTGTTGGAGGATGCGTTTTAGGAACGCGCGTAAACGGCTTCTCCCGCACTGGTTTAATGCCCCCGCAGCCGGCTCCTGGTAGCGTTGGCGATTGGCCGCGGCAGGGGCCTGCTCGGGGCATTGTGGGCCTGCCCCAAAGCTCAGGGAGGTGGCGGGGAAGCCTCCTGCTGGCGCCAGAGGGCCAGTCAGCCGGTCCTGTGTCCCCACAAACTGGGCCCCTGAGCAGCCCCATTCCCCGCAGTGGCGATCCTGCCAGGCTGCCCCACGCCTGTGGGGTCTGATCAGGTTCACCTCCGCGCTCCTTGCTGCAACGCCCAGGGGCTTGGGACTGGGGCAGGGGAGCCTCACATCCCCGATCCCTCAAGTGACCTCTTCTGGGAAGCCGAGGAGCCCGCTGGGCATGGGATGGGGTAGTGTATGGCCCTCTGCCCCAGCTGGCGCAGGCCCTAACCCCACCAGCTATCCTGTTGTTATTTGGGAAGCCCCAAATCGGTTTCTGTTGTTGCCCTTGTAGTGCGTGATGGCCCAGTAAAATTCAAGTTCAAAAGCTTGAAACTGGAAGTCAAGCAAACTAACAGAAAAACATTTGCAAAAAAAGCAGAGAACAGACAGTTTTTTCAATATTAAGTCATTTGTTGATGGGGGGGGGAAAGTTAACTTTTTTACAAGTTGTGTGTGTGCAATTAACTTGTAAAATGAAAGTCTGAATGAAATCATGGACCCCACTGAAGTCAGTGGGAATTTTGCTATTGACTTCAGTGAGGACACAATTTCAGTTTTTGCCTCAGTTATAAATGGCAGCACAAATAGACTCACATATGTCAGTAAATGCCAGAGTTTTTCAGTGTACCTACACTGGTAGTCTGGAAACTCCATTCTCATTAGAACTACTCATATGGGTAGTAAGGGTAGCATGATCAAGTCCATAAGATTTCTGAAAGCTGATGCCCTACATTTGTCAAAATTATATGCAACTAATAAAACACGTTTTGTTAATCTTAGTACAATTATGACACTGTGACATTACCCAGAGTACAATCTGGACCGATGAACAGTTCCCTCAGTTCTTCAATCTGGGGTGCTTTTTACATTGCTTCACAGTTAGAGTTACCACTCCTGGTCTGTTCACAAAACCTCCAACATGTTATAGTTATATGAGTGCTATAGCCAGCCACTCTTGAATTACACTGCAGAGCAACACCAGCCAATTCCCGGTCCCAGACTTTCCTCAGAAGTGCAGGTCGTGTACTGCCCAGCTCTCTCCTGAACAATACAAACTCAAAGTCTGCCATTTTATTAATAGAAAATGATATGCACAAATCCTATTATCCCAAATAGATAATTTAAAGTGATTACCAGTAATGAGGCATAAAAGGCAGATTTGGTTACAAGAAAATAAAAGTAAAACACAGCTAATACCCAACTTAACAAGCTAAGTAAATTTAAAGCAAAGGTCTCTCTCACCACGTTTCAACAGTTCTGCTGGCTGAATTTCTCTCAGTCAGGATCCCTCCCCCAGTCCAAAGCTGTTTCCTTTGTTCTTCAGGTATTGTGGATGCTTTAGCATCGCGGGTCATGCACTCCTCATCCCCCTATGGGATGGGGCAAAGGTCATTATAGGCCCACGGTCAAGTCTACATGCCCCCCCCCCGAGTCCCGGGGTAGTGTGGTCCAACAGCCAAAGTCAATATACTCACCCTCAAGATCAGGGCTGCGTGACCTAGTGGCCAGAGTCAGTAGAGCTGCTCTCACGATCAGGGCTGGGCAGCCTAGCAGCCAGAATCAATAGGGTTGGTGAGGTGGGCCACCACCTCAGGGTGGGCGGTGGCAAGGATAGGGGGACCCGGCAGAGTCAAGGGGGCATGGACTCCTTGGCCCAAAGAGAGGAATTAACTCCTGCAGTCCCAGTGCAGGCCATGCATGTCCCATCACACATGGGTAGAGAGAAAGGGAGAGATAATTTGGGGCATCTGCCTTCTCTTCTTATAGCTCTTTCTTTTCTTTAAGAATCATCTCCAGCTGAGGTTCAGGAGACGGAAAGTATGTCTAAATGTGAACCCCCAACTTGTCATGGTGTAGATTTTTGCCCACATCCTCTTTCCTCCCCAGGTCTGGGATTCCAAACGATTGTGCGGGACAACTAAAGATATAACAGGAACGGGAGTGAGATCACAGGGCTAAACAAAGGGAACCTGATGGGGACACAGAGCGGAGAACCCCGGACAGCACCCACTGCTCCTTGCAGGTGTCAAAGGAGCCAGCAGATGCCGCCCAGAAGAACTCTGCCCGGATACGTGAACGGACTGAGGAGCGGAAATAGGCCCAACAGTCACAGGAAACCCCGTCGGCCAACCTCCTCTCCCTAGTTTTGTAGGTGGCCATTTTGGCCAGGGCTAGGAGGAGGTTGACAGGGGGGTCCCGTGACTTTGTGGGGTTCTGGTAGGACTGTGTTTCTGCCCTGCCGTCTAAGAGCTAAAATCACTGAGATCTGAAATCAGCTGTGAGGGGGCAGTATTTCTGCCCAGCCTGCAAAAGAGCTGAAAATTACTGAGAGACTGATGTGCAGAAGTCACAGCAGAGAGGCAGAAGGTGACTGACAGTCAGCTGGTGAATGAGCGACCAGCAGGGCGGCAGCGGAGAGGTGTGAGGAGCGGCTAGCAGGGTGGCGGAGGAGAGGCGCAACGAGCAGCCGGCTGGTGGAGGGGCATGGTGAGAGCGGTGAGCAGGTGGCCGGTGAGCGGCCAGCAGAGTGAGTAAGATGCCTTTTTACCCCCAACCCCCAGGGTAAGAAGTGAACTCTGCAGATGCACCTCTGAACTCTTGGTCTGCACTGACTAAGGACAGCAACTGTGAGTGGGGTGCAGAGAAGGGTCGTGCATGTGAAAGGGACTTTTGGGTTGGATTAAGAACTTGAGGGGAAAAGGGCACTGCCCAACCTACTTGGGGGTGGGTCTTTTACTCATGGTATATGTTCATGAACCCTGTTTGCGGTGTTTTCCCAAATTAACTCTGAGTTACTTCCCTCCTTTTATTAAAAGTTTATTTTCTACACTTGGACTCTGTGCTTACGAGTGGGAAAGTATTGCCTCTCATAAGCCCCCAGGGGTGGTGTGTAATTTTCCCAGGTTACTGGGTGGGGACTTGAGCCAGTTCTGTGTTGTATTGATGGAAAGGAACCCCTGGATATTGAACCCGTCCCTGGTTGCTGCTGGCTCCACGTGGCAGAAGGGTTACACAGTTTTTCCATACTAGGCCTCTGGGGGGAAAAGAGCTTTTTTCCCTAAAAGTTTACAGGGTTTTTCTGGACCTTCGCATCTCTAGTCTGAGTGCCACAGAGATAATCTGCCCAAAAGCTTATCCCCACCCTTCTTACATTCATAGGGCTCTGACATTCAAGCCTTTGCTTAATAAGGTTCTTTCAGCTGAGGGTGCCCCCCCTCATTTGGGACAGGTTAAGCACAGTCCTGCTTTCCTGTATTCCTACGATAATTACAAAATTGGTAACCATATTCAGTACCCCTGCATTCAGTACTAAGGTCATTTGTACCCAACACCAGACAAAGTTGATCCTTTGACACAGCTGTAAATGATGAATATGTAAACAGCACAGGAGCAAACTGTATTTACATAAACACACCCATAGTCTCTTCTCCTCCCAGCTAGCTGTCAGGGAAGCATTCATTCAGATCCTGTTTACATTTGGAAAGTTTGGGAAAAACTGAAAAGAAACTTGTGTGAAATATTTTCTCTCAGAATGAACAGTGAAAGAAATTTTAGAGTAATATTTAAAATATTATTGCTGCACTTCAGTCCTTCAAAATGATGTCTAAAAACTAATAAGTATTTCAAATGAAGTTACTATAATTCAATTTATAGTATTAAGCAATTACTATTCCTACACACAAGTAGGCCGATATACCATAGTTATCTATGTAATCCCCTGGGGCACATTATTACAGTTCCCAGTCAGCAAACTGTGCAAGAAAAAAATAAATGAAGCGCTTCATCTAGTAGTACTTATAGATAGATGGACAAATGTATAGGGAGAAAGAATCATAAAATTTGTGATAACACCTAAACCAGGTTTTTTAAAAAAGCATTGAAAGAGGAGAACAGAGTATATTAGTAGTGAAATATGTGAAGTACTAGAGAAGATTGGAAGTGGGAAAGTATTTGCTCTGCTGAGTCAAAATGCCAGTAATATGATAGCAGCATGGCACATCATAATGGACAAATATCCACATATTACTGCAACAGGATGTGCTTCCCATGGCCTAAAACAGCTTTTTAATGATTTCATGCAGTTGGGCACACTGGAAAAGATCTATAAAAAGAACAAAACGAGTTATAAAAGGTGAAAATATGTTCATATTGTAGCTGCGGTCTTTAAAGAAGAAGCAGGAAGAAAAGCCTGGTAAGAATAAAATGGTAACACTGAAACTATCTAGCAAAATGAGATGGAGAAAAACGATGATGTCATTTGAAAGTTTTTTTAAAACAAAAAAAGCTCTTCCAGAAAAAGTCATAATTGAAGATCTTAAAGGTGTACTTGATGAGGCTATCTTCTGGGTTCACATGCAGAACTCTCTGAAGATTCTACAGCCAATTGTTTCTGCAATCACTAGATGAATCAGACAGAGCACTTTCGTCAAACATTCATCATCTTCTGGCCAAGATAAAGTCAACTGTTTTTTGAGAATCTAAGTGCATCTCCACCCACAAGTCAGGAAGGAGTAAAAGTGAAGGACTTCATTTGTAGATGGGAAGAATTTTGTTGCAAGCCAGTATATGTTGCTGCAAACCTCATAGATCCAAGGTTCAAAGGTAGTAATGTTAGTGATGTTACAGCATTGACTGGACTGCTAAACAACCAAACACGCTTAGCACTGGATATTGGAAAAGTACTTTCAAATGTTGCAGAGTACAGAA